GGAACTTGCACACGAGCTCGAGGTCAGGGTGGAAGGCCCGGAAAGCGTCCTGGAGGACGGGGCGAGTGAGGCGGGGCCCCAGGAGCACCTGAGCCCCAGCCTGCCTCCCAGCCGGGCACCACCCACCACCCCGAGGGCCCACAAACCCTCGCCTCTCCACGGAAGGAGCCCAGCTGCAGGCCACTGCGCAGGGCAGGTGCCCGGGAGACCACGGCCAGCTCGCAGTGGACACGCAGTCCGTGAGGCGCACTCCCGGGAGGGGCGCAGGACCTGAGCTCTTGTTAGCACGTGCACAGGTGGGGGCTGGCGTGCTGTTTTCATCTCCGGCCAGACCCCCAACATCGCTGTCACGGCAGGCATTTTTACTAGCAACAAGGCAAAAATGTGCTCCGTTTTGGCCACGTGGGAACACGTACTGAAGAATAAGGAGGAACGCCAACACCTCCTGGGAAGCAGGCACCACTAACGCCCTAGCACACTGCTTCTGGATTCTCAACACACCGCGAACCCCACACCTGGTCTCGGGACACCAGCTCCCTCCCGGGGACCCCTCGGCGCCAGGCAGAGCAGCGGACATCCTGAGGGCACAAGTCACCCTGCACCAGCACAGGAGGGGAGGCTGGGTGTGGGGCCCCGGGACACACAGCAGAGACATCGGGCCTCGGGGTCTGAGCCCGAGAAGCCGGCTGGGAGGGAGCAGTCACGGGCGCTATGGGCCCCACGTGATCAGAGTCGCACAGCATCTCGACTGTGACGCCTTCCCTGGCCCTCGCTCTGAGAACCAGGCTGAACACAGGGGCCTGGTCGCAAGGATGCACCTGGAACGCCACGCTGACAGTGGGCAGGCCCGCTGAGTGTCCTCCCAATGCCTCTACGTGGCCAGAAAATTCCAGAACAAGACCGGAAGGTGGGGAAGACACTGCCAACCCATGAAACCCTCCACTCTCCAGTGCCCCGCAGGATGCCAGGCTCCTCTGCGTCTTGTCTTTTTCTGCTCATGTCCAGAGCACACTCACAAAGCAACTGCGGGAAAACCCGGCCCAGGTTCTAAAGACACCCCTGTCCCCAACATTAAAAACCAAAAGCAGGCACCTGGAATGAACAGACACTTCTCAGCTGAAGAAGCAGAAATGGCCAATCAGGAAGGAAAGACTGCTCCACAGTACCGGTCATCTGAGAGACGCAAATCAAAGCAAGGCTGTGACCCGACCTCACTCCAGGAAGAGTGGCTGCTATCAAGAAACCAACCAACAACAAACTCTGGGGCTGTGGGGAGAAAGGAACCCTTCTCCACTGCTGGCTGGAGTGCAGACCACTCAGTGCAGGGATTCCTCAAAGAACTAGGACTAGAGGTCGCATCTGACCCAGCTATTCCCCCGCTGGGCGTCTTCCCAAGAGTTTAAGGCTTCGTGCCACAGCGAGGTACACTCACCCGTGATTACGGCAGCACAGTCTGTAACAGCCGAAGCTTGGAAACGGCCCAAGTGCCCATTAAGTGGAGACCGGATAAAGAAGATGTGTTTTTTTGTATACAAGGGACCACTACTCTGCCACCCTTTGGGATAAGCTTGAGACATTTCTAGATAAATGGACAGACGTCAGACCACAATCATATATGAAAAATCCTGGACATGTAAATTTAGGCATCACAGTATCTCTCCTGAGTGAGATCTCAAAGTACGAATAAGGAGCCAAACGGAGGCCGACATTGGAAGTAGGAAGAACAGGTCCAACGGGAAGGGGAGCCAGGGGTGGGAGAAGGGAGGGAAAGGGATCTTTAAAAGTAGAATTTAAAAAGATAGAACTGAAGGGAAAAATGGAAACGGGAGAGGAAGCAAGTCTGGAGGGTGGGGAGGGGGAGGGGACATAGAGAACAGCAGTGCGTGGTAGCCCATGCTCATCCCGAGACACAACCGCTGCGGACGGCAAGCATGTTAATTGTAATAAGGCACCTCCGTCGCGTCGCCCTGCTGCCATCGGGGTCCTGGCTGGCTCCCCGCAGGACTCACAGGGCGCTTCCTGAGTGCCCTGCCCCAGCCCCATCCCCAGGACTTCTGGGGGACAGTGTCCGGTCTCAGCCTGGCCCTCAGGGTCACACCCATGGTCAGCCTGTGCAAAAGCATTGGCAGCACCACAGGGGAGGCACACAAGTCCCGGGCCGGCCACGGAGCTGCCATGAGGCTCATGGGCGGCTTGCAGGGCCATAGGACCCTGAAACCCCGTGCACCTTTCCACACAGATGGAAGTCACGCTATAACTTTGTGTGACACAGCTGGGCTCCTGCTTCGAGGGCACAGAATTCTCCATGGTCCATGCCACCCACACCATGGGTCTTCAGGCTGCCACAGGTGGCCACACGAGCAGACATAGGTGAAAAGGATGCTGGGAAAGCAGCTCATCCACATGCCAGGCACACACGCCACAGGCTGGAGTGACACAGCCTCCTCTCCCAGGAAGGGACCCTAGCACGACCCCCTCCACGGAGCCCTGCACACTTGCACAGCTCCCAAAGGCCACGTGGTGCCCAGGGCCCCAGCCGCTTCATGGGAGGCCACGGTCAAGACAGCAGGGCCAACCCAAACGTTGATTTTGGAACAAGAACTGGAACCAACTCCATCCTCGCCTGGCAGGGAGAGAAGCCAAGGTCTTTCCAGGAAGAGACAGGAGCAGCCACAGGTGGCGAGTGGGTGAGCTGACCGGTCCTGCTGCAGGTGGGCAGAGCTGGCCGTCACTGTGGTAGGTCCTGCTCTGCTGTCTCCCAGCCGCCTCTCTGGAGACTTTGTCTTCCCCACTTCCTACGCCTGCCAAGCTCTCCACCTGGCACCGGCACGTGCCCAGGTGCCCACAGGGCAGACCCGACGCTCATCCAACTCTACCACGGGGCACGCAGCCCAGCCCGGGAGGCACAGGACAAGCAGGCTCAGGCCCAAGGCCGCACAGACAGAGCAGAAAAGCAGCTCCAGGCGCGGACTTCCTCCGTGTAGCGGGGCAGGGCGGCCTGAGCCACATAACCACCAAGGGGCTGCGAAGGTGCTAAGGCAGAGATGTGTGTCCCATAAGCCAACCAGGACCCTGTTCCAGGGAAGCAGGCCAAGGAAGAGCCCGTGAGCCTCCCTGGAGCAAAGACACAGCCGCTGCACCTTCCCAGAACCGCTACCCTGGGTGCCGGGCTGGCCATGGAGGCTGCCTGGGGCCAAGCCCAGCCCCTGGTCTCCCCTCCTGCGTCCACAGGACCAAGCCCCCAGGACTGCTTGGCAGGAGGGGCACAGGCCAACTCTGGACAGGCGGCCAGAATGCTGGGGTGAGAGGAGAGGTGGGGGTCCGGATCCAGCCCCAGCCGGCAAGAGGGGAGACGACACCGCTGAAGACCTGGCCGCCGTGAATTATTCATCTCAGCGCTGGCCGAGCAAATGTTTTATGAATGGTTGGGAGGACGGAGTCCAGCCGGGAAAGGCTTGGCCAGTCCAGGGACGAGATACAGAGGATAAATGAGGGCCACATAAGATGGGGGAGGAGGGAGGCCGGCCCCAGGCCAGGGCCATAAAGCCAGCAGGAACAAACATCCAAGGATTAATGGAGATAACCTCTATCAGCACGTTTTGTGAGCTCAAAGATTAAGTAGCTTTTTTTTTTTTTGTGCCAGGGATCGAACTCTGGCCCTTGTGCTTGCAAGGCAAGAGGCAGAAGCACTGAGCTAAATCCCCGGCCCCTAAGTAGTTTTTTAACTGACAAGATAGTGACTGCCTAAGCCGGCCTTTCTGGCTTACCCAGGCAGGCCCAAACTCTAACTCAAGCAATCCTCCCATCTCGGCTTCCCATACAGCAGGACGACAGGCAAGTGCCACGGTGCACGGTGCCTAGCTGTGCCCAGCTGAGTGACTTTCACCATCACAGGCAAGGACAAGTTCTAACCTCTGCGCAAATGAATGACGACCATCCTGTCCTGGGGGGAGAGGCCCTCCCCCGCACTGCTGAGGTTCCTCTTCCTTAGAAAGTAAGAGTCCCGCCCCCACTGCTGTGTCCCCGGGACGGCACCCTGAGGTCTGGTCTCTCTTCCAGCCCTGGTCAGACCTCACAGGTCACAGGGTGACCAGCTCCTGGCAAGGCCCCTGTGCAAATCCTGTCCCTCCCCCAAGCCTCAGAGGGAAGTCTCTGCCCCCCAGGTGGAAGCCACTTGCTCCATAGCAACAGAGACCTCTGCTGTCTGCTGTCCCCACGGCTTCCCAAGGCTTTTCCAACACCCCACAGCACTAAAAAAAAAAAACAGGCCATAGCACTTGCACTTGTTTTTGTCTAACCTGTGGACTAAGACACAGGACAGGTGCAAAAGATGAACCCTCTTGCAACCCAGGACTCTGCTCAGCATGCATTCCAATGTGCGTGGAGGGACAGGTGCAGCCGCAGGTCCCAAGCTCCCAGGCCCAGGAGAGAGAAAAGTAGAGGCCCAGCCTGGGGACACCAGCTTGGAAAACGAAACAAAAAACTATGTTGATGCAAACTAAAGGGGTGGGAGGTACTGATGACCACAAGGCGGTTTCCCAGACGAAGCGTCACTAATTCGTGCAGGACCCCGCGAAACCTCAGCTGCACAGGTTTGGGACTTGTTCCCACACTGCCACACAAAGACAGCTTTGATTCCTTCTCTCTTTTAAAGGCTTCTGTCTTGGACACGGTTGTCTGTGTATGGACGTGTTTGCTTAAATGTAGTAAAGTAGCAACTTCAGATTAAAATTTCCATGGGTTTTAGTAAAGTAAATAAATAAATAAGAGGCCTCACGGTACCAGGGCGCCTGCAGCTTTCTCAGCTTGCTCCCGAGAGAGCACACACACACACACACACACACACACACACACACACGCCCCGTGACCCAGGGTCTGACTCAGAAGCTTGGAGAGCAGGACTGTTCAGGTCTGGCTGCAGTTAGCCAAAAATGGACTGAAACTTTTCTTCCGAATTTCTTTCTGCATACTTTACATTCCTGACCCCCGGTTCTACAGCAACTACCTGCGCCTGGAGTCATGGCCGCAGGTGTGCTCAGGAGGGGCTCCGAACTGACCTGGCTCACTTGTGCCCAGGCACCGTGTCCTCTTTTGCGGCCCACTGGGTTCTCCGCACGGAGACAGCAGCTCCAAGGTGCCAGAGTTGCGGCCAACAGAGGACACAGAGTGCGGGCGAGATAAGGAACGACCAACCTTCCGAGTTCAAGCCACCAGAGAGGCGAGCAAAAGGCAGCCTCCGAGCAATGTGCTCAGGAAATTCACATAAAGTGGGTCAGCAGTGAGGACATCGGAGTGAGGACCGGACATCGGCAGTGGACAGACTGGAGTCCAGGTGAGGAAAAGCTCCCAATGGAAGGACCCGCTGCACTGGCACAAAGGGAAGCTTGCTGGTGAGAGCGGGTAGGGCAGGAACCTCCTGACAGGTACACCTAGGGTTGTAGCTGGCCACGTTGGCCAGGACCCTGCAACAGGGAAGGACCCCGGCAGGAGCTAGGGTGTCTGCCCCGCACCCTGGAGGCTGACCCAAAACCCACCAGAGTTCCTGCAGCGCCCAAGCAGCAGGCAAATCAGGACAAGCAGGAGGCTATGGTGGCGATGTGGCCGCCCAGCTGGGTCATATGGACATCTCTGGCCCCCTCCCCACCTCCTCTCCACCGGCAGGTCAGGACCTGCTCACCCAGCCACCTGTCCCAGAGCAGCCGAGGTGGCGCTGCCAATGCTGAGGTCAAGACCCACACCTGCTCGGTGTGGACGGCCAGCCGTGCCAGCGGGAGGGCCTCCGGGGCAGGTCTGCCCAGTCCACCCCTCCTTCCCCTCTCCGGTGCGCCTTTCCCGAGTTCTCTGCCCGCCGGAAGCACGGCGGCTTCCAGCGCTCACGGCCAGAGCGGAGCGACCCCTTCTCTGTCCTCTGGGTCACCCATCCGAGTCCTGGGCTCCCGTCTCTCTTCGCGCTTGGATTCCAGACTGGGAGTGGGTGGGGTGCTTGAGGTTGCTAGGGGCGGCAGGAGCGGTCTGTGGACCCACCTAGTGGTGTGCACGGTAACAAACAGAGGGCCATTGAGTTGAACGCCCGGGAGTAACCTCGGATCCGGCAGACCTGTGGCCAAGCCGCCCGGCGTGCTGCGCTGCAAAATCCGCCTGGCGGCAGGAGCCCCTCCGGACCTGGGA